GTCTTCAAGTTACAATAGTGAATGTCGTGACAAGATGATAACAGATCGCTGTCTTCAAGTTACAATAGTGAATGTCCTGACGAGATGATAACAGATTGCTGTCATCGGTACTGACGACATGACGAGGGTGGGGCGTTTGTTTTAGCCAAACTAGAAGTCACAAAACTCTCAATTAGAGTTTTGGAGACGTAACCTCTTCATTTGAACCTAATGACGAAAACAAAATCATATTAACTCTTGGGTGTAACAACTCCTACTTGCTAAATTGAAACAGTTAAAGTTGAATAGTTTTCATATAAAACAAACAACGTAAAAGTTTTAAAGTCCGAATTGAAATAGTTAACATTTGAATGACTTACATATAAAGTAAACAACGTAAAAGTTTTAAAGTCCGAATTGAAATAGTTAACATTTGAATGACTTACATATAAAGCAAACAACGTAAAAGTTTTAAAGTCCGAATAGAAATAGTTAACATTTCAATGACTTACATATAAAGCAAACAACGTAAAAGTTTTAAAGTCCGAATTGAAATAGTTAACATTTCAATGACTTACATATAAAGCAAACAACGTAAAAGTTTTAAAGTCCGAATTGAAATAGTTAACATTTGAATGACTTACATATAAAACAAACAACGTAAAAGTTTTAAAGTCCGAATAGAAATAGTTAACATTTCAATGACTTACATATAAAACAAACAACGTAATATAGAAGGAGAACTATCGGACCCTTTCGGATCTGTTTCTCGGTGAGTCAGCGGTAACTTTGCGGACTTACAACGCTAAAATCTGTGGTTCCATTTCTAGCAGTGGATAGAGCACATATATCCCTTCGTGTAGCATTTCCTAAAACAATAACGATGACATTGACTTACCTTTATCTAACAATAACGCCCCTGGCATTGACTTACCTTTATCTAACAATAACGCCCCTGACATTGACTTACCTTTATCTAACAATAACGCCCCTGACATTGACTTACCTTTATCTAATAGTAACGCCACTGACATTGACTTACCTTTATCTAACAATAACACCCCTATATAACGCATTTATAGGAGGGGCGTTAGGAGCTTGTCTAAAAATAAAATGCTTGCTAGCATTGTCCATACTATTGTCTCTAATTGTAGCCATGACGTAAAGACCTAGAGCTCGCGAGGATTTAATTTAGTTATGATTAAAAATAAACAAGTCATAGTTATGTTAAGGGTAGTCCTTTGATTATGATACAGCAAGCTGGAGACTTAATTAATGTTTACGGCACTAGAAACGATGTTCTTTATTCCTTCGCTCAAACAAATATTTGATACACTTCAGAAGGACTATTTAATTGAGATAAGAGTAAAACAATTATATTCTCCAGCGTATCTACGTATCAAACGCAGATATGATACGAGTTTCTCGTAAGTACAGAAGCTGTGTACGCCATACTAATATACTAAAACGATGTTGAAGCCTCAACACGTCGTTACAGACCATGTCGCCACGTCCGGTCATATTCTATCTGATGACTGTACATCTGGACAGTAGCCCTGCAGCGTAGTTTCCATTACAGAAAGCTTTCTATCAAACCATCTAGTGTATATAAACTACGATTTCCCAGCACCCATCTCAACAGTCTGAACACACAGAAATCCATAGGCGACTTGACCGGTATGACTTCGTATGGAATATAATGAATACCGTGCCACTGACTTCTGTGCGTGGATTATCACCTGTTACAAAACTCCGTACTTTTTGGGGCCGTAAGTGCGTTATAAGAGTGAGATCACATCTAATTCATGCGATTAAAGTAACCCAAGAGTTGACGGTGGGTGCTGGTGAGCAGCTGCCTCCACTCTAATCGGTCGGCTCAAACTTAGCGACGGCGAGCACTAACAGTCCTTGTGTAGCATTGCACGAACACTCGAAACAAACAAATAAACAGTTTCTTGAATGAGGACTGAAATCCATTGTTAAGTTATGAAAAGCTTGAGATGAAATCTCAGTAGGAAATACAGATGAAAACCTTTGCCTTTGGGGAGTCGTAGTTAATTGGATTATGGCTGACGAGGTTATTACAGACTTAGATGGATTCTGTTACTAGTGGTTCAGCTAAAGAGATTTAAGTGATTTATTGCGGATTCTTGGGAACAGAACATTTGGAAACTTACCTCACTTTCTTAGCTATGATTTTTATAACCAGGATGTTTTATACATTGTGAGTTGAGTTCGATGGGGGTAATCTTAGGCAAAAATACAAACACGTGTAAATATTTAAATGCCATTAAAAGGTCTTAAAATATTTACGCTCTAGAAGTATAATACAAGATAACAATACGTTCTTCAGACACTTGAAAAATATATGTAATACAAGATAACAATACGTTTTTCAGAGACTTGAAAAACGTGTAATACAAGATAACAATACGTTCTTCAGAGACTTGAAAAACATGTGTAATACAAGATAACAATACGTTCTTCAGACACATGAAAAATATATGTAATACAAGATAACAATACGTTTTTCAGAGACTTGAAAAACGTGTGTAATACAAGATAACAATACGTTTTTCAGAGACTTGAAAAACGTGTAATACAAGATAACAATACGTTTTTCAGAGACTTGAAAAAATGTGTAATACAAGATAACAATACGTTCTTCAGAGACTTGGAAAACATGTGTAATACAAGATAACAATACGTTCTTCAGAGACTTGA